GTACATCATTATAATATTAGGTAAATTTACGATGTTATTATTATATTCGTAATTAAATTCTAATGGTTTTTATTAATCTATAGATATATTAAGTATAAATAAATGTTATAGATAAATGATAATATTATTAATATTATTATTATTATAATTACAATTAATCACGCAATGATATATAAATGTAGTGAAAATTAAGTAAACAAAATAGAAACAATCACCACACATCTGCCTTAAAAACTACCTCTGTATAATAAAAGATTGGCGAAGAAATAGTTAGCAATGTATTTTATACAATTGGTTTTTATATATATATATATATATAATACATGTAATAATTAATTAAGGTATGGTGCGAGATAATCCTCTTTCCGCTTTGATTGATAGATTTATTTCAAATCTATATTTGTATTTTTATTATTATTATTATTACTTATAATAATCTATTCTACGCAATAATTGATTATTTCTAATGATGATGATGATGATCATGATGATGGATGACATTGCATTGATTGTTATTGCATTTAAATGATTAATTAATTATATATGACAAAAAAAAAACCCTATGACATGTGATATATATAATTAAAAGTAAAACACATTGAGTGACAAATGATTCCATTGTATGACTTCGCTTAAACAAGTTTTATATGTTTATTTATTTTGAATGTTAACCAGTTAAGTGTGGCGATGATCTGTACGCCGCAGAGAGCGCGCTCTGGTGTGTGTTGCGATAATCAAGCGATGACGGGTATAGTCGTCAAACAGAGAGTAAGTGGCGCTCTGTTAAAATATTGGATAGTTTTTTTTTTACATTTTTTGTTTTTTTATTTTACAAAATGAACAATTTTGTTAATAATGTATACACACAGTTTCTTAATACGAACATATATTTATACATAACTAGATGACCCAACAAACGTTGTTTTACCATATAAATTATTACCTTATATCGCCATCTGTTAGAATCTTATCGAACTAACAGAAATAATTATTACTCTAATTAATTAATAAACAAATAATTCGCAATAAAATAATATTGCGATTATAAATTGAGATATAAACTATCCTATCTTTCAAGTTGGATGATACTGCATACAGTGTGTAAAATTTTATTAAAATTGGTTCAATAGTTTAGAAGTCCATTGCGGACAAACAACGTGAAGTTAAAAATTTATTCTTGACTTTTTTTTTCACCTCTAAACATTTGAAACATATTCAAATTTACGAATATAATTTAATTTTCGTTATCAAAATTACAATTTAAATATCAAATTGTAACAAAATTTTACTCATGACGAATATAGACGTCAAACACACTTAACTGGTTAAAAAATTCACGATGAAAAATCATATTCTTCTTCCAAAGAGAATTCTTCAAGTATTTTCTTTAAAAATAAAAAATAAAAAAATATACAAAACTTATCAAATAAAATTAAAATAATTATATATATATATATATATTTATGTTTATATTATATAAATATTAGATCATCATTTTATAATATACTTTATAATGATCGCATAAATATCGTTGTATTGATTATAAAGTTATTATTGAGATAAATAAAATGATTAAAATTAGTAATGAAATTAAAGTGAAAAGAAAAGAAAAGACAATGAAAACAAAAATACAAAAATACAAAAATCAATTATTCTCTGACAAGTATTAAAATGATTTATTATATATAATTAATTTATAAAAAAAAAAAAAAATTGATATGAATCAGCTGATAATATAATAAGTAGTTATTAAATCAACTGATGATTTATGACAATGTTGTATTAGTTTTTTTTTTTTATATTTGATTAAAAAAATCGAATTTTTTTTTTTTATAAATAGTTTACCATCTTAAAAATATACCTGTAAATTTTTCGAATGAAATTCGCATTATTTATCGATTAAAAATTCATTTATGTGTTCCCCCTCAACTTGGCGCCAAATTCGAACGCTAAACTTTGAACACGTTTTTCTCGAAACGAATTTTTTTCAAACTGTGCTGTAAAGATAACTCAAATAAGTTTCAACCGATTCTTATGAAATTTAGCACACATGTTCTTTACAGTATTAGCTTCTAGTTGAACTTTGAAAATGCCACAAAAATTTTCCAAAATTGCCATTTTTGATCCAAAAACCGTTAAAAAAAAAAGGATCAAAAATCAGACTTTTTTGTCTGAGTCGTTCCAATTTATGATTTTGTGACTTTTTAATTTTTCCTTAGTTCAACTAGAAGATACATACATGTTTTATGAACGCGCTTCGACCCTTTTTTTGAAATTTTAGATTGCTGTAACTAAAGCTAAAAATCGCCATGATTGATGCGTTTCGTCGCGAGAGTCTCAGGAGATTAGTTACTACGGCAGCCATTTTGAAAAAAAAAAATAAAAAAAAATCAGATTCTTATAATTTAATATGTAATGAATAAACATGCTGAGTTTCAAAACGATTCATTTATTCCTTCCATTTTAAATAAGCCTCTGAAAAAAATACGGTCAAAATTTAGGCGTTTACATGTATCGCCGGCCTTAAAAAAGAGACAAACAAACAAATTTTGGAAAATTGATAAACAATAAATATATAATGAATTACCTGATGGTTTATTCACGTTTTATGTATATATTATTCAATTATATTATTATACAGTAATTTTTTTTTTTTGTAATTTACGTAAATAGTACAATTACACACACACACCTACCCTTAACTCTTCACTTCTTTTTATTTTTTTTTTTTTTTTAAACATAGATCTCATGTTTGTTTTATATAATATTAAAAATCGTGCAATATATTTGTTTCGTTAATTTATCATATTTTGTCGTTAGAAAATATTAATTTAATACAAAAAAAAAAGAAAAAAAAAAGAAAAAAAAGTAAGAAGATAGATGAACAACATTTTGTATACTTTTACAAAGTAATCATTTGTTTTGTTTGTTTTTTTTTTCTTTTTCCATATTATCCATCGTTTTGATCATCATTTTCAATTGTAATATGTTTAATATATTACATCGTTAAGAAAAAAAAAAAAAAAAATAAGAATTATAAGAATAATTGTACGAATAATTGAAACTCTTTGAGGCACAGTGGGAATGAAAAGTGTCCCATTCCATTTTTTTGATACATCGGATAATGCATGGTGGAACATTTACAGTATCATCTTGAAATATTATTGCAATTTGTACACCTGCTCATTAATAAGTTTCCATTTCATCTTATTTATGCATAAACAATTGCTTATTAAATTTTTCGTTATTAATTATTTTTTTTTTTTATGTTTTTACATTATGTTGAACGAAATAATTGAAACTCTTTGAAACACGGTGAGAATGAAAAGTGTCCCACTCCATCTTTTTGATACATCGTATAATGCATGGTGGAACATTTACAGTACCATCTTGAAATATTATTGCAATTTTTACACCTGCTCATAATAAGTTTCCATTTCATCTTATTTATGCATGGATAATGCATGGTGGAATATTTACAGTCCCATCTTGAAATATTATTGCAATTTATACACGTGCTCATTAATAAGTTTCCATTTCATCTTATTTATGCATAAACAATTGCTTATTAAATTTTTCGTTATTAATTATTTTGTTTATGTTTTTACATTATGTTATATATTTATTAATAATAATAAAAAAAATATATATATAAATTTTGTTACATTTAAAACGTAATGAAATTTTCTATAACAACATTGGAGACTAATATTTTATTATTATTATCTGAACATTCTGTTGTACCGCAAAGAGTTAAAATTTTCTTTGTATATAGACATGACTCATACAAAGTATCTGAACAATAATTATTATAAAAATTAAATATAATGTATTTAAAAAAAAAAAAAAAAAAAAAAAAAAAAAAACAGAACATTTTAAGCGGAAGTGTTAGTCCTTTTGTCAAAATTTGTATAATACAATTAATAAATCATCATGCATAGTATTATTTTATGATATTAAAAAAAAGATTCGGAATAGTTTAAAGTAACCTTTTTCTAAATTCACATTGTAAATAAATAACTGTACAGTAAAAAATAAGACAATTTTCATTTACGATTATTTAATTTTTTTTCTTCTTCTTTTTTTTTTTTTTTTTTTTT